AGTGATTTTCTACGTCTTTTAAAGATCCATACAAAAAACTAACGTCTCTCTACCAAGATCAACAAAAAATACAGAATACGGAAAATGACGAAGATTGCCCGAACATGTGCGAGCAATGTACATTGTATTACTATGACACACATTGCGGACACACTCGGACAATTATCGTTTGTTAATTATTTTAATATTCGAGTACGCATTTTAAATACAAAAAAGGTTTAAGTTTACTTTACAAAAACGTCGAAGTAAAGACTGCTTATATTTATCATGTTATTTAGACTTTGATATTGACACAAGCTCTACATAGTTCAAGGTTATAGATCTAGTTCAATGTTGTATAACTCCAAGATATTTTTATATTCAAAAATTGAATCGTTCTGGTTAAATTATAAACTTAAAATGTCAAACACAAAGGCTAATATCGCCGTTGAATGTTGACAGTTGAAAATTGAATAAATTTTCCATATACAATCGCCGTATACATATCTTTTTTTCTAAATCATTCCGTGTATCATTTACTGAATAAATAAGTAAAATTAAAAACAGTAAATATCAGATAGTACATACATTCAAAAGCCTCGACTGAATACTTGCTTCCGTCTATTGCAAGTAAAACTTTTTTTCCCTTTTTCATTGTAGGTAAATCGCTTTCGTCCTCGTCCATGTTTTTATAATCCTTTCAAAGTTTCGTCCTTTTTGAAATGCACATAATTTATGATTCAATGTTGAACCGAAATAGATGTCTTAATTAGCATACGTATGACAGTTTAACACAGTATGTTAATTAGAGTACAGTCATGTAAAATGAGCCGACCAGTTCCTGTTATATAAGATAATGTCCCCAACTTGTCAGCCAGTGCAATAAAACACCATGTAAATGCAGTATTTAGAATATATGTCTGCTTTTACAATTTGTGATATCCTTTTTTACATGTACATCAAAAAAAAACAAGACCGGTAAAGGTAAATAAACGCGATGTACATAAATACGCGACAGTTTACTTTAATCCGAGTTATGTCGAATATCGCGAATGTTCTTATCTTTTCAAAAGTGAAATACATTTGTATCAAAACAAATTCTGCATGTTTTTCAGTAGGATTCAAAGATTTAGTGTTGTTGTTGTTTTTGTTTTTGTTATTTGTTGTTGTTGTTTTTATTGTTTGTTTTGTTGTTGTTGTATTTTCATTATTTTATTTTTATTTTTTTTTAATTTCCTTTTCACTTATCAGCTTGTTAATAATTTTGTCAATTTAGCATCTTTCTATGTTTTATTTTGTTTTTATTCAAATAATTTATACTTTTTTTAGAACGATCGCTACAAAAGGGTTGTAGATATTTCGCGAACTCCTTTTTTAATGATAATCATTTCAAGTGTTCAATTCTTTAATTAACTCAAATATCAATTTTTAATTTAGTTCCGAGTATATTCTTTATTATTCATTTCAATATTTGGCTTTTTTTTAAAGACACAATAAGTCCCAGATATGAATTAAATTTTACTTTTTTACAAAGAGCAACAGTTTTAAAACATTTAAATAATGGGTATAGAGCTTGTTAGAAACCTGTTTCCTGAAGAAGTAGCAATAAATGGGAAGTTATTGGTCATGAATGAAGCAATCTAAAATGTAAACAATGAAGTTTTTTAACTTCCATACAAAATACTTAATCACTATAACGGTACTAGCACGGATTTACATTACATAAATCCGTGGTACTAGCAATAATAGAAAAAGATTGGTTAGATAATAGGCCAATGAGTTTCTTTTTCTTTTTTTGAAAATTATTAAAGTACACTTTAGAAATAATTTGTAAGCATTTCTGGAGCAAAAATGGTCTTTAAGTGCTCAAGTTGATTTTATATGCAAGATATTCAAATTCTACAGTTTAAGATATTTAGACATCAACGTAAACAGAGCTAGTGTAACATTGATTTTGAGCCAGTAAGATGATACGATTGTATAGCTCAAGGACATGTAGAGGTTTGTTTGATATTCATAAGATACAAATACTGACAAACATGCCATATGATCATGATAACATTAATATGCATGTATTAACTATCTGTTTGTACTTGAGTGCATTTAACTGGGTGTATTTCCTGGGTGTAATAACCTTGGTGTAATTCCCTAGGTGTATTTACCCCGATGTGTTTACTTGAGTATAATTACCTGGGTGTATTTACCTAGGTGTAATTACTTGGAGTTTTTGCCTGGGTGTATTTACCTGGGTGTGTTTACCTGATAGTACCTTGCCGATTATTCAAACTCATCCGAAGACTGACGACAAGGGTCGAAAAGTTGCAAATGCTACTAACAAGCCAGGATTTCCTGTGTCGACTATAGAGTAAACGTTTAACACAAATGCGCATGCGCACGCACACACGTACACATGTTAGCTGAACTGTGCTCTGGTGAATTCAATTTGGCTCGCTGCCGTGATTCAGATGATTTATTTAACACCCACATTTAAATATTACCTAGCTTGTTTTGAAATGACATCATCCATAATGTCACAAGTGAATTTTCTTATGTATATTTTATCCGTTTCCTTAATTTTATTTTGAAAAAAAGTGTGTTTCTTTGACAACGCCCACAGTCAGTGACAATTTTCTGTATAGTCACACAATGGTATAACATTTTATATGAAAGACCATCGTCCTCATATATCTTCATACATATATATTAATTAATTTATGAAAGTCTACCATACTTTAATATAGTAGTTTGATAAACAATTTACCACATGTGACTTCTTCTCAATCATTATGACACTTGGCCACATTTCCATTATTAAATTCATAATTGTTATTACCTAATATAGAAAACTGCAGACAAGTCTATCACGCTAATATAATATCATAGAATCAGCCTGGTCAGTGGTAATCTTCCTGCGACATTTCACAGTCTATGTTCCGAAAATAAGTAGGCGGAATTCTCAATACAACGTAAATGAATGTTCAGTCCAATAATAAAGAGCGCAAAATCAAGGTGTAAGATCGGTAAAATCAAGGTGAAAGACCTGTATAATCATCGTGAAAGAGCGGCAAGGTCAAGGTGAAAGAGCGGTATGATCATGATGAAAGAGCGGCAAGGTCAGAGTAAAAGTCCGGTACGATCAAAGTGGAAGAGCAACAAATTCAAAGTGAAAGACCTGCAAGGTCAAGGTGAAAGAACTCCAAATTCAAGGTGAATGAACAGAAAATGTCAGAAAGTTATCAAAACGCAAGTACAACATTCTAAGACTTGCAGTTACATGAAAATTCAATTTGAATAATTTTGTGTGCTCGTTCCATTTCTTTCCCTATATTTTGTAAAGATCACTATGTAATGATTGTCTCGAGTCCTAATGTATTAGTAAAAGAAATAAAATCCGAGTAATTCAAGTAGCCCATATCACAGATAGAAAAATAAGCAAAACACTTTAAGGCAATAAAAAAATCTAATTGCTTAAAGACACAATTCACAAATTACTTTTTTCTACGATGAAACTACATCTTTAATTTTCAATTCTCTTAAAAACAAAGAAATAAATCAACATTTAACTGTGATTTTATCTAAAAACAAAAACCTATTTTCGCATTCCTGAGAAATGTTCGCTAAATGTGTTTTTCTCAATTTGATAGAATACTTTCACATAGATTTTAGAAGAAGAATAGATGTAATGTCTGGGAAAGGGAAAGGAAACTATTTGATTTATGAGGCCGTCCAACCTGCTCCACATGCTACTTTGGAGTAATAGCTACTTTATACATCTACAATAATTTAGTAATGAGGCCAAGATACATTTGTAAAAGATGTTTTCTTTTTTTTACAATAAAAATACATGATGTTGCAGGAAGTGGGTTTCCTCTGTGTGTGTTTTTTTTTCTGAAACAACTTAATTCTCTATCAAGTATCTATTTACTAGAGATATTCCATCCACATCTTTAAATGCGGCCTCGTGTTTCAACATAATATAAGTATACGAGAAAAAGTCACCCTTCATCGTGAATGAACAATGTCATACTACGTACCCTCAAGGATGTAGAACACGCGCATTTTTGCCCGATTCAGGTCTTTTTGTTGTTGTTGTTGGGTTTTTTGTTGTTGTTGTTGGGTTTTTCTGTTGTTGTTGTTGTTGTTGTTGTTGTTGTTGTTGTTTGTTGATGTTGTTGTTACCCAACCGATTTTAATGAGATGATACGGAGAGTACCCATACTTTTTCAAGCTACCCATGGTATATCCCCTTCGTGGTTTTTGAAAACAAGTACAGTTTATTTGTTGTTGATTTCTTTTTTTATGTTTTTTTTTTTTTTTTTTTTTTTTTTGGTCTTTTTTCTTAGTTGCGACCGAGGGATACGGTACACACTCGAAGATAAAAACAAGAAATTTCTAGCTTGTTCGAAAGTAATATATAAAACAAATATTATAGATTTACAATTTCAAATATAATTAACTAATGACTGCTGTTTTTACATCATATTTTCTTAAAGTTATATCAAAGCGAACATTGTTGATCTATTTCTTTTATTTTGTGTCTGCTTTTTTATTTCATAATAATTGCTTCTAGAGATGTTTCTAAACAAAATAAAAGTGCATTTAGCGCTATTTTTCAATAAAATGTACGTTTGATTTCGTTATTCCGCTTTTTGCTATTGTTTGATTATTAATTATAACTTAGCCAGCTTTTATAATTAAGATACTCCATGCCATATCTCGTCAAAATCGTTGGATAACAGCAAAGATATTGATAAAAAAATACCTGAATCGGCCGGAAATGCGCGTGAACACATCCGTATTTTAATGGCCACGCGGTAGATCGCCACATTGATAGATCCTTTTACGTTTATAACTTCTTTATTAAGGAAAATAATGAAACAGAATTAAATAAGCATGTGCATTTTAATGTTTCTATTATAAATTGTAACATTTCTAAAGATTTAATTAAATACGAACTGATAATCATATTGTTTCTTTTAAAGAATGGTGTCTTGTGACGTCAAGACAACGTAAATGACGTCGTATATGACGTCATCGTCTTTCAAAATGGCCGCGCTGTAGGAATTTCACGTTTCTTTCAAAATTATCGAAGACAGGTAAGCAATAAAAATAGAATTTTATTATCAGAAGCTAAGATAACTTTGAATTCAAATTATCAAATGATATTGCCCATGGTATATGCCTAGACTATGTTCAAAACGAGCAACTTCAGTTTAAAGCAAGTTAAATATTGATACGCCGCCAAAAGATGTGAACAGTCACGGGTAATGTGCAAAATCAGCCTTGACAACTGTTCTCTTTTACAGTTGAATATCCGAAGCACTAATCAATTTTCCTTAGGAAGTGCTCGTTGTTCAATAAGTTGCATATCTTTGTGAAAAAGTATAACCTAATGCATAAATTCACAAAGTAATGCCATGTCTGAAATGCTGAAATGTTTGTCTGTTGCAACTAAGATTGAAACGTCTGGTCGAAGCAAAATGAATTGGATAACAAGTAAAAATGAAATGATTGATATACTTTAAATGAAATGGTATTTATAAGAGCACAGTACGCCTTTTGTCAACATTACCATTTTAAGTATGATCTAAATATCAATAATTTAACAAAAATGATATGGTATCTAGAATATTCAGTTAGGTCTATTAAAGTTGATATAGTTCTACATGTCATGGAGCGATATTTGACCTTGTCTCCAATGTTTTACTTTGATCTTTCATTGAACAGAAAATCAATTTTTAATGGCATTTTAAATAAGCTTTTTGCGAATAGATTTTGATTATTGTAGTTTCGTCCCGGTTGGACAACGGGAACATAAATCACTTCTAAAATTGGCATGTTATTGAAACTGTGTTACATAATGTGAAGCAGACGAACGCTTTAGTAAACATATGTGAAATAAGTACATTATGTCAGTCGTTCATTTATCAAATATTTTTATGTCAAAACCCGTTGTTATGGCACCATTTATAAGGAGGCAATACAGACATGATACTTTACTGGCCTTATATAAAAGATATGTGTACTGTTTAGTAAATGAAAACAAAACTAGCTTGCTATTGTTCCCATCGTTGTTTTAATTATGAAAGTTTATGTAAGAAAATTCATTTATAATATACTGTACTGTAGTACTTATAATTGATGAATAAAATACGTATTTTCATTTTCCGTATTTTCACTGTATAAAAGTTATTGTTCACTGTCCGTATTTTCAAGGGTATCTTTCCGGACTATTTTCAATATACAAATTTTAAGGGAAAGTATTTTAAATTGTTGTGTCAATAAAGATAAAAAGTATACTGTATAAAAAAAACAGAAAATACAAGATTTTTCTATAGATTTATTTTCATCTTGTGGTATGAAAATTATCATATTTCACTCGTGGCTTTTTTCACTCATGAAGAATATATTTTCATACTACGCGATGAAAGTAAATCTTGTATTCATTAGTATAGAAAAAAACTTAAATATCATCCTCTCATTATATGTAAACAGGTTAAAAATGTTTACTGTATAGGTTATTTTAAAATTGTTTTGTTTTATCGCCATTTCTCTACAGTATATAAATGCGAACACTTAAGTTCAGTTCGTTTATTTCAATTAACTTTGAATGAAAATATATTCCAGTCTGCGCGTAAAGTACGTTTTATATTGGTTACAAATGATTGATCAAATGGTCATTTCAATTCATTGTTTTAGTTACCTGATTTTCTGGTCCATCAATTACAAGAAAACATTTGTAAACATTGTGTTGTCTCACGCAATGATGCCATTAAAAATTCATATCTATTATTGATCCAGAAACAATGATGTTGATGCGAATGTCCTTAGATGTCAGATACTTTTGTGAGATCCGGGTACTTAGCACCGTTGAATATTTTAACAACACATTCTAAGGAATAAGGAATCGCCTAAATAAAAGGACTATTAAAGCTTATTGTTTAATTGTTGAAGATATTTTAATCTTTTAACAAGGCATACGAGATATGCTTTGAGCGGGCCATTTAGGGGAAGATCTATGGTATGTAAAATATCTTATGGTAGTAATATTTTGAAAAGGGCGAGAAAACATATCTAAAGTAAGAGGCGATTAGACGGTGAATATAACAAAGAAAAATGGAAAACGTTTCGGATTTATTTAGTCTTACAGAAAAATAAAGTAGAATGGGAAGCGGAAGTTCAAAAAAGTCGTCTGCTGCGAAAGCGGACGCTGATGGTGATAAAAATAAAAAGAAGAAAAGCATAATACGGAAGTCGAATGATGGAAGTTATGACGACAATGTTACAAATACACGACAACCGCCAAAAGGAATCCGGAAGCACGTGGCATCAGATAGGCGGAAATCAGACGATGTGACCAGACAGCTTGTGGTGCTCGAATCAGAGAATCTGGCGCTAAGTGGTGACTGGGAATTAGAGAAAGGCGTTGACGTGAGTTGTGTAGAGTTAATTTTTTATATTATCTTAATCTCAATTTTATAACGTATTGAAGAACTGAACAAATTGTTTGTATATAGTGAACTGCACCTTTTTATGGATTTTTATCAAAATATTCTCAAGTTTAAGTAACAGTTAAATACTTTCCGTTATTTTTCTTTCTTAGTACTAGAACTTTTTTAGTACTAGTATATATTTTCTATTCATTCTGTAGCTAAATTTATCGTTATCCATTGCGGACATACATCTTATAATGAAGAGATATTTGAACATTGAGAGTTATTTTAACATATCTATACATCTGTCAGCCATATACACCAGAAATTCTTAATTTCTATGATATTTTATACTTACGTATCAATCACAATTTACAAAAGAGAAACAACACGATTGTTATGTTTAACAACTATCCCGTCTTAAAACGTGCCGAAGAACATAGTGACGTACGAATATATATCGTATATATAACGTAGCAAAACGTAACAGAGTTACGCGTGTTTTAATTGTACAACATGTGTAAATATTTGCAAATTTATGGAGAGACCCATGATTATAAAGCATAGACTCCATGATTTTCTAGCATTAATACTTTAAATGGAAAGTTTGGGGGAAAAAAATTGTAAAATACACCGGATATACATTTTTGTTCCTTTAAATTCAAAATTGTAAATATTCTATTTTTCACCTTTCCTGAACGCTCTTCTTTGTTGTTAATACATTGTATATATATGCAAATTAATTTTTCTTGATAACTGAAGAGTTGATACATGAATTCAGAAACGATTTTTATATTATTACAGTTGACAGGTTATATGGCCCTATATAAACGGCGGTTTGTATATATAACCCGAGCATTTAGACCAGGGTTATATTGCATGCGGCCGAGTATATTATACAAATTATATTATTATCGTGACGATTATCCAATGAAAAACGACTTTACAAACTTTCAGTATTGTAAACAACCAATATGTAACCAAAACAAACATATCTATTTAATACATCAACAAACAATGAATAATAAACATTTTCCCGCCTTAGCTATTGATTTTAATTAACATCTTGTTTACCATCTGTGTATCTGTTAATTAAATATTAGCTGTTCACGTGCCCGCTCGTGTCTGTAATAATCCACGGAAAGCTGCTAAAAGTCTCCGGGAAACTTTTTTTATGTATTTTATTTTGTCAAACGGTTTACCACGAATGCTTTTTAAAGTTATTGTTAATTTCTTTTTAATGTACATGTGTACATTATTGAATTCAAATACATGTATAATGATTACTGAAATCAATATATTAATCACTAAAAACAAAATTTGATCACTTAAATAATATGTTGATCACTGGAAGTAAACTGTGATCACTGAAACCAATACTGGGTTAAATAATACTAAAACAAAGTTTGATCACTGGAACAAAATTTTGATCACTGAAAACAAATACATGATCACTAGAATTTTTTCATCACTGACAGAAAACATGTTGATTACTAGAAACAAATTTTGATCACTGAACACTATATATTGATCACTAGAAACACATTTTGATTAATGAAAACCTATATATTGATCATTAGAAACAAATTGTGAACACTGCATGACATCAATATATTAATCCCTTTAAAAAATGAAAAAAATGACCATTGAAAACTACATATTGATCACTAAAAACGGTGTTTATTTGTGTTGTAGAGTGAGATAAAGCTAACTGATGTTTCGTACCCGCCACCTCGTCCTAGCAAACCTATTACAGACACCTCTTCTTTCAGCGCTGTTGATTTCGAAGTAATCATGGTATGTACCATTCAAATTAGTATATTATCTAAGATTCAACCAGATAATTACCTTTAGCATCAGACAAGTTAGTTACTATTGTGGTTGATGGACTATTTTTAGAGACAAAACTGAATGCCCTATGCCGATAACGCTCAAAAGCAGTGACATGAAACCACTTCCTGCATACAATATTATGCCCTTAATAATGTGCAAAAGATACGGCCATTTAAAATAACAGTATGACTGATTGTTGAACTTGCTAATTTTTCAATTTCATCTGCATCAGCTGATTGCGTTAGCCGGATCATTACAACGGTGACGATATGCTATGTTAACAAGTAAATAATATTTAAATTTTAATAAATTTTAGTATTCCAAAACAATATAACCCGATTATTATTATGTCATTTACATTTCTTATTACATTCAGAACAATATGAACGATCCAAAACTAGCAGGTGGCAGTATTGAAGACGTCGCTGCACGACTTACAGCCGACTATAGCACAGAGATTGCCAAGGTTCGAGCACTTACAACATGGATGAGCTGCCAGAAGATTCGAACCCGGGCGTACGGTAACGACGCCAAGCCGGGTACTGTATTGGGTTATATGAAACAGATAAAAGAATTACAGGGAACATTTGCTGGTTTACTAGCACTGTTATGTAGGTATGTTTCATAAAATATTTACATGGGAACACCTTGCTTTGTTCATGTTTACATCGACGAAGGCTATGAGCTGCCAAACAGAAGCTCCAGGCCCCTGAGATACTTTCCTTATCCTTACGACTGCATTTTTCAAACCACTGTTGCCTTTTATATAGTCATGTTTAAACAACATGAAAAATCGTAAAAACTGAGCTATACAAAACATATTAAGTTGTGGCAGTGTTGTACTTGACTATACAGAATCATTTCTACAGAATTTGATGGTGATATCAAAAGACTTTTTTTTAATTTCAATAAATGAGTAGTTATGTACAAAAACATATGTAAACACAATAACATATTTTCTAAAATTCAATTAAATTTGTAAACAATAGTTTAGACTTTCATGGTCAATTCATTTTACGTCATAATTCGTTTACATCACAGGGCCATAGACATACCTTGTGTTATCATAAAAGGAATATACAAGTCACACTGCCATCAAGTTGGAGAAGATGACGTCAGCAATTCTAAATGCACGTGGAACGCCGTACACGTAGACGGAAACTGGCAACTCGTGCATCCATATCTAATGTGTACCCCACTTTCTACACAGACGTGTAAAGATAACTGGACACAAATAGAGACTTCTGTAGTACAGCAGGACCAAAAACCCGGGGTCGTGTTAAATACATTCTTTTTCGCGCCGAAACCTTCAGACTTTTTATATTTTTGTCTTCCCGATGATTCAATGAGTAACTGGCAATTAACTGAGACGAAAACTCATTACAAAACCTTCCTAAAGTCGCCCTTTCTCCGTCCGGCTTTCTTCTCTTCCAAAATGCAACTTGTGAGTGAACACAAATCAGTTTTGTTGTCAGAAGGTGGAAGGTGTAATATCAAGATGCAGTGTCAACAGGAAAACGTGAACGATTTAGAGTTAATGTATGAACTGTACTCAAATGATCCTGAATTTGAGAAGAAAGAAGAATGGGGAGATTTAGTAGTGTGCGGCCGTAATGAGGACACTTGGAATATACAGATAAAGTTCCCGGTTGCTGGGACCTTTAAAGTAGCACTGTTTGCTAAATTAGAAGACTGGTTCTTTTGGATAGGTAAGACAAGACTGGTTATAATTGTAATTAATTTTTATGTACAACTTCAGTAATGTAGAAGAAATATCGCTCTTTTCTTGGCAAACTGATCCCCTTTTAATAACTAAATATTAGCTTTGTCGTCGACACTTTATATCAAAGGCCCATTATACCTACATATTGCTTTACTTTTTTCAAAACCTTTATATTTTTTAGTACACTTATATCGTTTCCAAAAACATACTCATTAATTGGCCAGTTACCTGGCACTTTTTTTCTCTCCCTTTGCATACTAGCAATTAGTACCAATATAGTGAAACTATATTTTGTATGGAAGTCACAAAATACCATATTGTTTACATTTTGCAACTTTTATGATTATGATATTATCATTTCAAATTAAGCACTACTTTCTTAAGGTAACCAGTATCTAACATGCTCCAAAACTGCAATATAAACTTCATAGAACTCAAGTTTGCTCTTTCCAAAGATGCAAAAGATTACATGATTCTGGGGCATTATGTGCCTTTAATATTTGATCACATGTCACGGAAATGGACACACCGTTATTAAAACATTATCTCAAATTTCAGCCATTTAATCTGATTGAAACCATGAAATTTTTATTTTACAGGCGATTTTAAAATTGTCTGCGGAGAATCTCTCATAGACTATGTCGCAACACCAGCGGTGCCTAAAGAAATTGGGTACGGTCCTTCAACCGGAAGTGAGGAGGCGGGTCTATTGTCTCCATCACATGACGGCGGTATTGTATTCTATAAACCAAACGAAGAACATATCATTAAATTCCTGACAAACGAGAAGGTATTATTAAGGTATGGAACTCAATTTTTTTATTGAGTAAAACATTTTGTAGGGACAATACAGGTGTCTAAATGTCAAAAGAACTATTTTCTTTAATGAAATATGAACTATGAGTAGGGCCAAAACTTGTACACATATAAGCAGGTTAAAATATGACCTTTATGTACTTAATCAACCTTTTATGTTGCTGGGTTTTTATCGTTTGTATTGTTGTTTTTTGGGTGGGGTGGGTTTTGTGTGTGCGGTGGGTCCAAATGAACAGGTCATGTATGAGCGTTACATAAATGTTAATCTATCTACAATACAAAGAACCGCAACTTTGTTTAACAAAGATATAGATTTAAAATTTAATGTTCCTCATCAGGCTTTTATAAAATTTAACACGTTTCATTTTATTAACGTGTATTCTTTCTGAAACATAACCTGTTAATCATAGTGTTAAGATTTCTTGTACCATAGTTTAAACATGTGTTGTTTCTAGGATTCTCATGATGTAAAGTATTAAATCGGGTATGTTTTAGTCATGAAATAGAAAGCACAGGAAGTGAAAGCGAAGACTTGCAACACTATTGTAAGATGATGGTGCGGAAAAGTGAAATTGACTTTATCATAAACCTGCCGTCGTCGGGAGAGTTTGCTCTGCGTATTTATAAAGTTGACGAATTGGGAGAACGGCAAAACGTCTGCAACTATTTGTTCATAGATTCAGATGATGGTAGAAAACGAGAGGTATGGTTCAAGATTTCTTTAGATTTGTACTTCAGGCTAGCTCATATGAATATTTGATTATTTATTGACTTCAAACCACTTGTCCCTCATCACTGTGGGTTCGAATCCAGAAAGGGACTTTGGATTCTTTCATGTGAGGAAGCTATCCAGCTAGCTTAAGGAACGTCGATGGTTCTACTCAGGTGCCCGTTCGTGCCTAGAATATTGGTCACGGTCACCCGAGGTCTTCCTCCACCAGTAAAGCTTGAAAGTCGACTTATGACCTATACTGTGTCGGTTGGTACGACGTTAAACAAAAGAGCAGAAGATTTAATATGATTTTTTTTTAATTTGTAGACTCGTTTCGCCAGGTCATAAAAGGCACTCACTTTTAAAATTTCCTTTTTTTTTTTTTTACAACTGAGCTAGAACCGATTATTTAAATGCTCCGATAAAAATCCATTTAATATTTCCCATTTGTTTATGACATTATAAATTAATAACCTTTCGTTTTCCCTTCCTAAAAGAACGTTTTCCAGAGAAAAGCGCGCGTAAATATGCGACAGACGACAGCTGGTCATGACATCGAGACGCTTGAAAATGCTGTTCAGAAGTTTGATCACGTCAAGCTTCCACACGATGACGACTATCAACGAGGAGAAAGAAGATTAAAGTACCTAAAGCTAAAGAAAGGTTTCTGATTATAGAACAATTATTTACAAGTGTTAATTTTTTTTTTGGCTAACTTACAAAACACTAAATTTATGTTAAATCAGAAAACAAAATTGTTTAATGGTCGCGATCTATATGAGCAATACATACATGTACACATGTTTAATGATCTTTCTTCCATATCTTCTCAGATTAAGTTCCATATAAGTGAAAAATAAAAAAAAAGCTTTTCAAAGAAAAGAAATCGATAAAATGAAAGGTGTTAAAATGACTAAACATCTTTTTCATCGGTCCCTTGCCATAGTGTACGCATAAATATTGTGTACTAACAATTTAATATTCTTTTCAAAGTTTCCATAAACAAATGGCCAAAAGTGTCATTTAATATAGACACTGTTAATCATAATTATTGGTTAATGTATTATTCAGGTTTACGTGACGGCAGGATGCGACGTCACGAAGGAACGCTGTGTAAAGCCGTTGATGACGCAGAGAACTCGAGATTTCAAGCCGCGTTGGAGCCGAATATTCAGAGAGCGCGGGAAATCCTGGAATCTCTACAGTCGTTGGATATACACTGCCATCCAGTCCAACAAATGGACCAGAAGACAATTTCAGAAATAGCCAATTTCAATAATCCTCCGCATGACGTACACAATACCATGATGGCGACGTATTTACTGTTAGGTGAAGACAGACAATTTCTTCAGGTGGGTAGGTCTTGAGTTGTTGGTTGTTTTAAGTCACAATAGCGATTTCACATATCACATACCAGTGCCGCTTTTGCGACTCGTAAAAATGGTAATGCACGGCCGTGCACATATTTTGAAAAGACGTCATTTACGTTATAGAAACATAACGCGCAAAATGTAAGCGATATACGATAGGCACGTCAATGAAAAATGATTCTTTTCCATTTCAAACAGTCTATAGTTTGGATATGTGATAAATGTGTAGGTCAATACTGAATTCATTTCAATTCTTTGAATAAAACAATATCATGCTCGCCAGAGGCTCGCATATTATAAATTTATCCAACTCAATAAATTCAGTATTGAACCTACACTCATTCAATATCCTCTACATACGGCATTTCTTAAAGCAAATTGCTGTTGGCAGAAAACTCTTAAAAAAACCATATTTCATGAGTAAAAATCCGAGTACAGTATAACTTTTACTGGTGTAACTTTTTTCTGAGCAATACTCTGTGTGAAACAAAAAAAATCAGTTGTTGCTAAACAGTCTCCGTAAATAACACTTCAATCTATTTCCAGAAATGGGGCAATATTCAGGCGCTGTTACGGCGACAGGGAAAAGAAGGCGTAAAGTACCGGGTCAACGGGTTTCGTGACGGAGAAATGCCCAACAAATCTACAGTTCAACAAGTGCAGAAGTTACATGACAGTGTTCCTAAATCTTACATCGTTTCTGCAAGTCTAAGTGCAGCAGCCTTCTACGATTGGGTAAATTTTAATTGTATCAATATCACAAATATCAATAATATTGAGTTGAACTTAATTTTATTCGTTCCGCAAGTAAGTTCGGCAAGTAGTTCTACTCGACGTCAAAGTACTTTTTCCTCCGGTTGTATTCCAATGCATGCCGATCATCATAAAACAATATTCCACGAAGTACTAATGTTACTTTCCAATCTTACATAAAACTTGAAAATGTTTTTGTTCAGGATTTTAATGCAGAAATGTGCCCGACATATTTTTTTCTTATGAATTTTATCAGATATTTTATTATTTTTTTTTACCTCAGGTCTCAGGTGTTCTGTCATATTTAAATAACACCTCCCAAAATGCAACAGACCCGGACGACTCATTTGAAGCAGACGACATGTATGGCCATGATGACCTTTATGACGTCAGACAACCAAAAGATAAAATGGTAGCGGATGATGGAAATATTTCGCAGGATGAAGGGTTTCTGGACAGCCCTGAAATGGAGACTAGTACGAGGGTCGGCACGGGCGTCTGATAAACACGGTCAGCACGGACATGTTATAAACACGGCTGACAAGGGGGGGGGGGAATAAATACGGGCGTCTTATAAACAATCGTTATCAAATCCAGTGTGCATCGGTACATTAAATATTACGACTTTGCGGATGTTCTCTTCTCAAAAGGTATAAAACTCAAAATAGATCCGAGTCTAAGGGATAGGAGTGTTGGAGGAAAATCAGTATAATTAGACGGTTGTGTCTCTGTTATTTAAACACATTATACTTAATATTCATAGAAAAAAATCACTATTACCTAAAAGACCTTAGAGAAAGGTCTGCCAATTACAATGTACATGTGGGAGCTTTCATAGATTTTTTTTCATAAAAACAAATCCTTAGCATAGCTTACTTTTGGCGGTCAAATCATTCAGAGAAAGTAAGTAATTATTCTACCTCAACAGAACTTTATACTTTTTAACAAAGCAACATGGCTGATTCGAAAAAAGTAAATGAAAATCAGAAATATATATACAGTACATTTATCTGCAAATTACAAAAACAAATTGTGTGTTTTTTTTATACCATTTTCGCCACATTTTTATTTTTCTACATAAAAAAATAGTCTTGATATGTTTACATGCTGCTTGGGAGTGCTATATATATATTATATATTTAAATTGTATTTTTTTGTTAACTATACCAATATGTACAAATGAAGTAAAACTCTAAAATGTTACATAGACTGTGATAAAATAAAATGTAATGAAACCTTCAAAAGAATATCTTGTTTTTTTCTTTTTCTTGTGACAGGAGGGAAAATTAAAGACCCAATATGCCCAAGAAATACTTTCTTTTTTACTTCATAAAAAACATTTTTTTTATTTCTGGTGTCGGGCTATAGTTTACAAAAGGCTAAGGATGGCTAATTTGCTGAATTACCTTTTGCTTCTGTTGCTTTTTGGCAATTACAGTTAATAAATATGGAATTAGTCCTTCTTGCATGGATTTCAAAATACTACATGTACTTGTATTTTGTATACATTTTGCTACTTTTATGACATATAATTTCACATTTAGCTCTACTTTATTCAGGTGATCACCATATATAATATTTAATTAATAGAATTATTTGAAATATTATGTGCCCTTTTTGATGAAGGAAAAAATTATCCGTTTCTGAGGAATAATGTGCCTTTAATAATGAACAGTTACAACAAGAGAACCACTTGCACTGTTAATGCTACTATGCATAAAATTCTAAGTTAAAAAGGCACATAACTCAAGAAATATTGCTTTCAGAATTATACCCCTTGTCATGATAAGCAAGTATTCAAAGTTTCATGTTGATAACTTATAAAATGTGTTTAAATAATGAGCTACATTAAAGTAATTGCATGGCAACAACAATTATGACTACTGACTACAATGCTGCTGCAATCATAAAAGCTCGATTTTTTCTTAAAAAACAGACAAGCTAAAATTACAGCAGGACAATTCTATATTAGAAGTTCAGCAAGTTATTCAACATAGCAGAAATGAATATCCAAACAATTTTATTACAATTAATTTTGGAACCGAATGTTAAACACAGATCCAGATACGTATGAAAGCTAAATTCAAACAGATCAATTATTCATTCACTATAAATATGAAATCAGTCTATAAACCAAAGAAAATTTCACAATTTCTATAGCAGTGTTTAACCTACTTAACACAAATGTCATTTGTTAATACCAAGTCTTGATCATAATTCAGTGTTTATACACTATTTTATCTGTATTTCCCCTAGAGCTGTCATCAATAAACAATAAAGATAGAAACATAGCTCTTTCCTTGATATTTTTATATTGATCAATAATCAATACACATTTGAAAAAATAGATAATTTGGACTCATTAATTAGATGTCTAAAAATTATGAAAATTCACTAAAGCAATATACAGAAGCAAGTTTACATGTCTTAAAAACATGCTTTTGTTATGTAATGGACATACTTTATACTACAGCAATGATGAGGGTGGAAAATCATGCCATTGGCATTTATAAACAAGACACATCATAATTGTATGAAAGAAAAATCATGTTTTTTTTACTGAAAATCATTTACAAACTGGTATATAAGTTAATTAAAGACAAGTAATTATAACTTTAAGTATTTATTGATATATTGGTGCACTGTCGATATTTGTCGTCCAGTCCAATATTGATATATATTTGACATGCTTTGCACTGAATCAATGACAGCTCTAATTTCTCTTAGACCACTGCTTAACCTTTGGCTTGCTGATGGCTGCAGAATTTACTAACGCAACCAGTGCAGACCAAGATCAGCTTGTACATCTGCGCCAACTGATCATGGTCTGCACTGTTCACTAATTAGTCAATACATGGTTTTCTCCTTTTTACAAAATGAACAAGTCTATTTAAGAATATAGCATTGTAAAGGTTAACAAAGCAAGCATTTACGCAGTGTTTTTTAACATTTGCGCAGCGTAACGACAAAACCAAGATAGTGAGTTTGCGACCAGCATGGATCCAGACCAGCCTGCATATACGGGCAGTCTGATCAGCATCCATGCTGTTCGCTTAAAAACCCTATAACAAGTATAAAAACTGATAGCGAACAGCATGGATTCTGATCAGACTGCGCAGATGCGCAGGCTGGTCTGGATCCATGCTGGTCTCAAACGCACTATGTTGGTTTTGTCGTGAGGCAGCTCATTTGTTCTCATAAAACAGTTGGTTCAACAATAAATCAACATTGGTGTATGGGACATTTGACCCACTTTTCACAAGTTTCTTAATCTTTTATCAATGTCAAAAAAAACAAAAAACTTCCTTGTGTTAAATCTTCTTCATACTGTGACACATGTAACATTGATTCTTTACGTGTCGCTTAATTTAATTTACGTGTCACTTTATTAAATTTACATGTCACTTTATTTAACAAAATATAATAATTTTTGTCGATGTTTTTATTTACGTTTTTTTATCGCAACTTTCACATTTCTCTCTCCAGGGGCCTCCACATATTCCTCCTCCTCGACTGTTTTCTGAACCTTTTCTCTGAAGTTCTGCATCTTCCACTTTATCTCATTCACGTTATCAAAATATGTCAACAGTTGTTCACGCTCGTGAAGCGCGTCAAGTTTTGTTTGGATACCTTCCTCTACTTGAACCTTCTGCTTTTCTCCCAAATATTTTTCAACCTCTCCATCCCTTCTACCTGCCCATCTTGTATATTTTCTAGACAACGCATACGAGTCCAGGTCGTTTAAATTATGGAAATATTTACTCTTCATGTAGTCTTCCATCGTAACCTCCAACTTTCCTTGGTGCCTTCTCTCTTCAGTTAAAGAATTTTCTAATACCTGAATAACAAATTACAAATTCATTGTATTCTTATAAGCTTTAAAATAATATATGAGCCATGCCATGACAAAACCAACATAATGGGTTTGCGACCAGCATGGATCCAGACCAGCCTACGCATCGGCACAGTCTGATCAGGATCCATGCTGTACGCTATCAGCTTCTCTACTTGTTATAGGGTTTGTAAGCGAACAGGATGGATCCTGATCAGACTGCGAGATTCACGAATAGAAGTGTAAGCAGGTATTTTTCAGGTATAAAGCTGTATCTTACAAAATATATTTTTATAAAATGTATCAACAGTAAAATTATACTGGTTCCATAATCTTATGGTCGATTCTTGAAATTGTTGTAAGATATAGTATACCTCTAACTTTTTTAACAAACATGAATATTGTAAGTTAACAGAATAACATGTTCAGGAACATAATATTATTCTGTTATTTCAAGGATTTTATCTGTTAAGAAATTATTTTGTGCTTGCCTCATTTGCTTCTAAGGCAATTTGCTAATTTTTCCCAAATTTTTCATTCAAGCACTTTCAAAGTATTCCATTTTTTATTCAAGGAATAATTTTTGCAGCAGATAAATAGCTTTATATACTATAAATCATATACATGTAATTCATCAATTATTTACATCCAATCGTTGCTTTTAAATTGTACCAAATGGCCATCCAATACATTCTCAGTACATTTTTCTTGAAATTTTGTTGCTTAGGCAATATATAATAATTTTTCACCTAGCTTCATCATGTGAAATAACTCATCATCTCTAGCGAGATTTCTTCTAAAAAATTTTTTGTTTGTTTGTTATATTGCACCAACACAGTATAGGTCATATGGTGACTTACCAGCTTTACTGGTAAAGGAAGACCTTAGTTGCCCTTCTGTGCATATTTGGGCACAAACAGACATCTGAGTAGAAGCATCGCCACTCCATAATCTAGCTGGAAAGCTTCCTCACATAAAAGAATCGAAAGCCCACAACAGTGACGGGCAAAGGGGTTAGAAGTTAACGTCTTTAACCACTCATTCATGGATAATAAGAGCTTTACTTTATATAGCTATTAAGATATACAAAATATACCTTAAACTTAGATAGACAGGCTTTTTTCTCTTCTGGTGTTAGTTTCAACAGTTCTATCTCATCGTCCATAGTCTTTAGTCCCATGGTCTTAGGTTCCGCATCAGGATCCCGCGTTGGTGCCGTCTTGAGACATTTCATATAATCTAGCAGCTAAAACAGACAATATGAACAAACACAATAAATTCATGAACAATAAAATAAAATACATTTGGAATAAAATTAATCTGTTTGAAACGGGAAATAAGATAAATTAATCGAGAATAAAATTTCATCAATAATAAATAAATTGATTGAGAATAAAATTAATTTATATGGAATAGAATTAATTTATTTGGAATAAAATTAATTTATTTGGAATAAAATAAAATCATAATGAATAAAATAAATTCATCAAGAAGTAATATAAATTCATCGAGAATAAAATAAATTCATTAGGAATAAAATTAATTCATCAAAAATAGAATTAATTTAAATGGAATAAAATAAATTCATCAGGAAATAGAATTTATTCATTAGGAATAGTAAAAATTTATACCTGATTTCTTCTCTTTGAAAAATACAACACTATATGAGCTGCATCATGACAAAACCAACATAGTGCGTTTGCAACCAGCATGGATCCGCGCAGTCTGATCAGGATCCATGCTGTTTGCTTACAAACCCTATTAACAAGTAGTGAAACTGATAGCGAACAGCATGGACCCTGATCAGACTGCATGGATGTGCAGGCTGGTCTGAATCCATGCTGGTCAAAAACCCATTAAGTTGGTTTTGTCATGACGCAGCTCATATGTTTTTACATGCAGCTTCAAATTCATTAATTTTATTTTGGTGCCTAGGTTGAGTTTTAAGTCACACAACACACACATCATATGTTGCCCAAATGACACATCCCAATCATTATGGTAGCTAGGTAATTTGAGGCCTATGACTCTAACCAGTCAGTCACAGAGACATTGCAAATATCAATTCTAACTAACATTTTAAGTTTGTAACAAAAAGATGCAAATGGGATTCAAATTCATGACCAAGCACATATTATGCCAAGGTAACGTCACTCTACATCGGACCACTGAGCCTTACTAGTGAAAGATTCAATTTATTGACAAAGCTGTCAGATTTGTACTTAAGAGTTATGAAAGTAGGTATGCACTCAACCCTGACAGAATCAAAGATGGAAAATGAGATTTGAACTTGTGACCACCTGCTTGTATGCCAAAGTAACATCACTCTAGACCTCTGAGCAAAAGAACCCATTGATTCACGTAGTTGTCAAAAGTTTATACTTATAAAGCTATAAAGGTAGGTGAGCACTCAACCGTAACAGAATCAAAGCTGTAAATGGGACTCAAACTTGTAGCCACTCGGTTATACGCCAAAGTAACAACGCTCAAGATCACTAAGCTACAAATTTACTAATTGACATAGTTGTCAGACTTTGTACTTACATAGTTATAAAGGTAGGTGTGCACTCAACCATAACAGAATAAAACATATAAAATCAAGAATGAAAATTTTAGTACTTACGGCACTCTTATAAACAACTTTCTCCAGGCTGTCATCTTTTATCCACTGTTCTAGCAGCTTATTGCCTAATTCAAATTTATCGTACAAACCAAGGCCAAGAAGCTGAAGAGAACGGGAGAACGTGCCTTCTAGACGAGGGGTGTTTTTACTAATTAAATAAAATGTTTTTCCGAGAAGGAACCTGTCATCTTTGATATCAAAGTGATCATCGTAGTAAAGGTTCCTTATCACTTTTACTGGTTTATATACAACTTCCTAGAATTGAAAAAGAAATATAAGAAATGAAAATAAATGAAACAAAACAAGTTTTATTACTGATTATTTCAAATTAATTTTAAAGATACAAAAAAATGCTATAAGGTGAATTTACAGCTATTCCTATGTAGGCAGTTACCAAAGTGCTCATCTAAACATAATTTCTGAAAAAAGTAAGCAACTTGGTAAATCTATTATCCTTGTATATTCTAGCTGAAAATCTTTGAGGATTTGCAGACTGCCGACTTAAGAATTTACCGAGGTCATTGTGACAGAATTATAAAAGCAGGTGTACTCTTATGCAAGTGACTCATCTGACTCTTTGTCTTTTGTACGACGACAGTTTTCCAGCATCAGAGTAAACACTAGAATAATGTAGCCTGATATGCATAAATATGAAATCGTCAACTTAGTGTAGAAACGGGTTAACTCCTATTAAAGTATATAAAGATTTAACCTGTTACTGTAGTAAGTTGAGAAAGTATTCTATTGTAACACAGTTATTAAAGTCAAGAGACTTATCATCTACCATCTTAAATAATATCTATCTGATTGTGTTGGAAGCTATAAGCTTAAAGGCATATTTTTGAATCTGTTCCTGGAACCAGCCAGTACTGAGCAATGGGAATATAGATGCTTGCTCAAGGAAACAACGACCTGCCCACTGACAAAGTTTGAACTCATGCAACCAGCAATCATCAGATTACTATGTTTGAACCATGATATGCATATAATTCAAAGTCAATGACATGTAACCTCTATCCACCAAGACAAGTTCAATCATTCAAAAACCTGCTACAGTTTCGCTCAGCCATACTGGGTGGTCTCAAATAGTCTCAAACCCAACCCACCTTTAAATTTAGAAACTAACCCCACCCACCATCTATATTAAGAAACGAACCCCGACAACAAACTATATATAGAAACAAACCCCACCCACCCTCTATATTTAGAAACAAACCCTACCCACCCTCGAAATTAAGAAACAAAACTCAACCACTTTCTATATATAGAAACAAACTCCACCCATAATCTATATATAGTAACAGTAGTATCAAACCTCTTCTTCATCCACCGGAACAGGTTCGGGCCTCTCATGGTTGAATGTATGAATATAATATTTCAAAGCTGCACACAGACTGAGAAAGTTACGTGTCTGATTCTTATATTCCTCGCCAAGCATTACCTCATACGCCAGCTGAGCTGCCACTGTAAATTTAAGTCAATATACATGTAATATAACCTAACCGAAGCTGAATATCTTAAACGAACTCAACTGAGGTCTAAAGGCATAAAAACAAGGAAATTGAAAATATTACAAATATCAAGTGAAGCACTTAAGATAAAAATTAAAAACAACAGGAAAAGGATAACAAGGAAATATACTGACAATTAAACTGAAAATCAATTTCATATGCAATTATCAGATGAATTTGAGAGAAAAGCTTGCAATGCTTTTCATTTTTTGGCTATTTTTCACAATTAAAATGATTATTCTGGAAAAACAGAATGAGGGTTTGTTTGTTTGTTTCATTTTACGCCTTTTTCAACAGTATTTCAGTCATATAGGCGGGTAGTTTCCTAACCATCGTTCCTGGAGAGTTACACCAGTACTAGACTACCTTCCTCCGCGCTAAACTACCAAAGCATCTCCCGGGGATCGAACCCACGCCAGAGAGGTAACTGGATTAGAAGTCATCGACTCTAACCCCTCGACCACAGAGGCGGTATACAGAATGAGGGAATGAGCTAAAATTTTACACATAAAATTATTGGATAAGACCTTAATGAATTGATAAACAAAATTCGGAAAAAAGATTTTCAATCCTGTGATGTCTAAAAACCTTGGTGGAGTCCCTTTAAATTGGAAACTAGCCCAAGTTCAAAATATATACTACATGTAATAGAACAGCGACCAGTGCAGACAATGATCAGACAGCCCAAATCTTCCAGCTGATCTTGATCTGCACTGGTAGCATGTGTGGGATCTGTTCTCGATAGCAGACTAAAAGTTGATATATATTTTTTTTATTTGTACTTTAAATTAAAAGAAACATTTTCTGCATATTTAAAGCTAAACAGACACAGGAAGGATATAAAATCGAAAGCAAACAAATTTCAACCACTCAAGGACAAAGCTCCTGTAGTTTAGGAGTGTAGTTTAGTCAAAATCACTAGCGAAATGTAACCAATGGGCCATAATTCCACCAAAAATGTCTGAACGGCAAATCCCCCAACAACACATGATGACAACACTTCTATGAAAGTTTAGTCAAAATTGCTTCAGAAATGTAGTAATAATTAAAAACAGAAGTGTATTTCCCTAGTTATTTGCTTTTAAAAAAAAACAAAAAAGATTAAGGATCACAATTCTGCCATAAATATTTGAAATATCACTTACCTTCATAATTTTTCTGTTTTAAGAAATGGTCAATCAACATTGTCATTGAGAGTGCATCTGGAAACACTCCATACTTTGACTGAAAATTTAGAAACAGAAAAAAAATGTATCAAATACATGTATGTAACAAACTCTACACAACAACAACACCCATTGGGAGACAAAGACTGTGGTTGTTGCTGTAAAGCTTCTATGTTTGGTTTTAAGGCACACCCAACACAGTATAGGTCATATGGTGCAAAAACAGGAATTTCAAGATGATTTTTGCTAGCCTCGGGTGTTACAAACTTTAAAGCAACACCAGGAATCAAAAGCACCACACCTGCTGGAGCTATGTGATGCATAAAGTCTAGTAATTCGAACCCATTTAGCCCGCTCTTACAATCGCTCAGGTTTAAGGTGGCTCAATCTGTAATGGCAACCCCTCTGCCACAAGGGATAGTGTTGCTCTTGAGAGATCAATTTACCGAGCGTTCTTTGTGTGAAAAATTATACTGTCATTATAAAACATTGTTACATGTATGTGAAAATTGATTTATGTAAATTTAACAAAACTTTTACTTCACAAATAGCCAGATTTTATACTTTGGAAATACTAGAAAAAACAAATGTAGAACTCACGATGTCGTAGATCTAAATTTCAGAAATTCAGCTGGTAAGGCTTTACTTCTGTGTATACTTGCCCATATGGTTTATTCCGGTGCCAAGGGTAAAGAAACCAAAAACATAAACACCTTAGGAGAACCACTGGTCTTCAGAAAACTAGCTGGATAGCTTCCTTACATGAAAGAATCTAATGTCCTTGACTAGATTCAAACTAACTGGCAATTGCAGATTTTTCGATTGTAAGTTCTTCACGTGATTGAAGTAAGAAATGCAAATTTTATGTATTCATGCATTTTGGACTCAGTGGAGCTCCTATAACATATCTATACATGTACCTTATCCTTGATAATCTCTACTAGCCGATCAAGATCGCCACTTTCTAAAAAACCTCGTACTATTGCATGCATTATATTTTCCTTGACCGGTACACTGGATTGGCAATGTCGGAATCTGAAATACACAATAACATATTACATATCAAAAAAACATTTCACATGCCTTACTTAGGCAAATGATGAAAACTTTCCGAAAATATAAATATTATTTTTTTCCCATATTCTTAAGACATCTAAAACAGAATTTTATGGAAATTGATTTTACACTATAGTTTAGGGTAATAAGTTTGTTTGTTTTATTGGGTTATACGTCACACCAGAATAGTATAGGTCATATAGCGACGTTCCAGCATTACTTGCCCTTCCATGCATTATTTCAGGCACAAACTGGCACCTGAGTAGAATCACCGATGTTCCGTAAGCTAGCTGAATAACTTCCTAACATGAAAGAATCCAATGCCCCTGTCAGGATTTGAACCTGCAGCGGTGAGGGGAAAGTAGTTTGAAATCAACGACCTTAACCACTCAGCCACAGATGCCCAAGGGTTATAATTAAAGTAAATCATAAATTACCCAGGTCTCAGATGTCCATACCCGAAGTAGTCAACTTTTCATCATCTATTTTCTATTATTATTACATGTACATACCATTCTTGTAGTTCACTGACGCCAAATACCAACTTTTTATCACCCAAATACATCAAGGTAAGATTGTTTTCTAATGTTAGTTTTTTCTTTTTTTGTTGTAAACTTTTCCAAGCTTGGTCACTCAAGCAACATGGACATTCCTAAATTCTCTTGTACATTGTATAGTCACGCAGGAAATTGCACTTCATTTCATTTGCTACTTAAAAATAAGTATCATAATTTTGCATAATGTTATTTTGAAAATTTTTTAAAGTTTTTTCACCTGCTTTTCTTAAAGAGGGAAATGGTGAGCAGGCTATCCCTAGATCCAGACAGCAAACCAGCTGGTAAAATCTAAAGTTAGTATAGTTCAAACATATCTATTTAAGCTCCGTTAGGAAACAAGTTCTTCCAACTTATATTAATCACTACCAGCCATGGTGTCAAATGAGGAAACATGATCATGACCCAAGAGGGACTTGAACTCATGATCCCCGAGTTGAGAGGCAGATACCTTAACCACTAAGCCACTGCACCCCAGACTAAAGTTAAGTGAGTGATCAGCTCTTACCTGTAAAGAACTTCATTTGCAAGATATCCAAATGATGGAGGAAGATCTTGTATCTTGTTAACAAACTGAAAACAAACAACAAACTTGCTTTGTTTAATCTCCGTCTGTGTATAAGATATAATTTGAAAATTACTAGCTCGCAATAGCCATTTCAATTGACCCTAAGCCTACTGGTGGCATCTGCATACACGTGAACTCTCCCACTTTAAACAGGACACTCCCACTTTCTGCAGCAATATTTTCAAAGATTTTTCTTAAAATAAGGGGTATTTTCACAAATTAAAGAAATCTCCCTCTTTTTGATATCAGAACTTTCTTCTTTGTTTATTGCAAATTCTAAAACCTCACTCTTTTTGAAGAAAAATCTCCCACTTGATCATGGAAAAAAGTTCACATGCATGCATCTGAATCTCTACCAATGTGATAAGTTCAGACTAAGACCAGCCTTAACATCTTTGCAATCTTATTACGTATTATGATCTACACTGTCAGTAAATATTTTGAAATTTTCCTTAAAAATGATGAATGGTTTTGTCCAGATTAAAACATAGAAAAGTCCATTTAAGATATTTAGCGTATTAAGCGTAATGAACTTTCACAAATTTAATATTCGATTTATCACATACCAAAAATAAAGACCGTTTGAAGTGAAAAAGAAACATTTTTCATTGATGCCCCTATAGTGTAACGCTGACATTTTGCAGGCCTTAACACAATGTTTGTATAACGCAAATGATGTCACGTCAAAATATATACACGGCTGTGAAATACCATTACAGAGTCCTAAAAGCAGCACAGGTATGTGATAAAAATTACTGGTACACATTTTAATAACAGACAACAAGGGTTTTACCAAATCAATGTCCACAACATGAAATGTTGTTGTTTTCTCAAAATTCTCCAACAACTCTATCCCAAATGCCTCTGAAACCAAAGAAAAGACAATATGTCACAAGGCAATTAATGTTAGAAGACAGTAAATCTTACAAGGAGGCAGTAAATGTCACAAGGTAGAAAATGATACAAAGCTGTAATTAAATGTCACAAGGCAGTAAATTTAACAAATTTGAAAAAGTTACAAGGTAGTAAATATTACAAAGCAGTAAATGTCACAAGGTAGAAAATGATAGAAAGCTGTAAATGTCACAAGGCAGCAAATGTTTCGAGGCAGTTATGTCACATGGAATTAAGTAAACCAAGGCAGTAAATGTTGGAGTAGAATGCAACAAGGCAGTTCATATTAAAAGGCAGTAATTGTTACATGGCAGTAAATGTCACAAGGCATTAAATGTAAAAAAAAAAAACAGTAAATGTCACAAGGCCATAAAAATTGTTTAATTATCAATTGAAACTATACCTGATACAACACTGATAACAAATTTATGAAACTTATTTACAATAATCCCATAGGCATCTTTACCTGCTGAATATGAGATTTGTCTTGCTTTAAATGTATTTTAAAATTTTAAGGAATTTCAATATATGTGTGTGCCTGACTAAACAAAAAGATAGTAAATGTCTGGCTGATCTCCAGTCGCTTGTACTGTTTATCTGTTTGTTTTATTGGGTTTTATGTCACACCAACACAGTATAAGTCATATGGTGATGTTTCAGCTTTACTGGTGGAGGGAGACCTCAGATGCCCTTCCATGCATTATTTCAGGCTAGAACGAGCACCTGAGTAAAACCACCAACGTTCCCTTAGCTAGCTGGTTAGCTTCCTCACATGAAAGAATCCAAAGTCCCTGTCGGGATTCGAACCCACAGCAGTGAGGGCAAGTGGTTTGAAGTCAACGACCGGAACTACTCGGCTACGGACGCCCCTTGCTTGTACTGTTTTATGTTTTCCCAGCATGAATGAAAATAAGGAATATGCTGTTTCACTTTCAACATACTTGCATCAAGCTTTTGAAGATATTTTGATTGTAGTCGCTGCTTCCAAATTTCATCCTGACTGTACCCTTCTTTCAAGTAAGTTCTGTAAATGTCTGAAATGACAAGTAAACATGAAATTATTATGATCACATTAGCTACTTTCCCATTTTACTAAGAATTATTTCCTGTGAATGCACATGCCATCTTGTCATGTATTGCCATGCTTCTGCTTTTTTGTGTAATTATATATTGATGCTTTGCCATTATGGCCCTTCTGTAAGGGCTTGAGTACATATAAAAGTTCTTCTTTTCATTGTGGCATTATATTACAGAACAGCTCTTTAAATATCATTTCTGGGCTAATCTAAACAATTATACATACAGATTCTTCAATTAAAATCAAATATCATCTGCCCCTCAAAGCCTCAGTATTTATTATTTGTATTAATGTCAAAGTTGCAAGTGAAAATGGAAGCCGTGCATGAAATACCAAATAACTCCTTTAAAACAGATAAAATAAACATTTTTTAACAGAATTCACCTTTCATAGGCTTTGCCTAATTTCAAAGTACTTATCTCGTCCGAGCCTCATTTACATTTTCAAAGACTGTAAAAACACTCAGGTGTCTAGGCTTCTGCTCAAAGTTGGCTCTGATTACAATAAAGGACAGATTTTGAGTGAGGATTAAATGGGGCATAAGGACGGATGACATACCCATGAATCAAAACTTGTATTTGGTTGTTAAAGACTTTTAGAATGTTGAACAGGTCTAGGATTTCATGATATTTACGTACAGTCTGTAAATGTTTGGACAATCCATAATTTTACGGATTTTCTTATCTGTAAATTTACAGACATTAAGTAAGAAAATAGTAGAAGTTGCTTTAAAATTTAAAACCGCAGGTTAAAATGAATAAGGTTAGGTATTAAATGATTAATTGTAACAGTATGCTAAGATTCAGAACAGTTTGATGACTTTCAATTTTCACTTTTAACAAAAATTTCAAAATCATCATACAAAGATGAAACTCATCCCATTACCTTTGTAAATATAAACAATAAATAAAACAACTTGTCTTAAGCTGCGGATTTTATTGTAAAACTTAAAACAGCAAATTTCACATTGAATATCTGTAAATTTATGGATTGAAAAATCTTTAAATTTCTATACTGTCTATAAATTTACTGACAGTCCATAAATATCATGAAATCCTAGACCTGTTGAAACATTAACCTTTTACTTCCATTTAGTGATTAAGTGTTGTCATTGACAGTACGTGACAAAGCATAATATGGAACTCAAAATAGTGAATCTCACACCAGAAGAATGAAACTTTTGAAAGGTGTAAAATATGCAAATAATAAAGCTTTGAAAAATTGAACGGTAAAATAGCTTATTTTGTTGTCGCGAAAATATGTGTCATGATCGCGATTGCATAATTTTCACTACAAAGCTGCAATGGTATGATGCAAAAAGGTTTTCATTAGAAAAGAAAACAATAGTTTGAGTTCATGTTAGCGTGATTACAAACTTGAATACCTGAAAAACGACATAAACGTAGCAGTCTTCTTGACCCCAAACTTTTCAACATGGGGGCTGCCATGTTTGTTGTTGTTGTCTACGGTGTCTATCTTATTTTCTCATCTCCTAATTGATCCTTGTTCAGTGTTTTCTGAAAGTGTAAAATAGATGCTGTTTACGTGTTAATTAAATAGAGATAAGTCGTTTACAGGCAGGTTTATGTTAAATCTTACAATCAATAATAAATTCATGCCATGTCAAAGGCTAGACAGCAGCAGGTAAGATGTTTCTGTCAGACTTTTCAGGTCTAAGACACTGGCTCCACAGCTTCAGTGTCTTCCCTCCAGTCATTAAAACCATAAAAATCATTTAACTTTGTTGTTTTTTCATCCAAACTTTAAAAGAACGTTTTTGTGTTTATCTATCACTGTAATCATAAACACGTTTAATTTATAGAAAGGAACATAGTCCAACTAACAGACTAACACTGACTAATTAGACTTGTCAAAGAGAATTCGAGATAATTTTGGACAGGCAATGTCTTTTCCAACGGTTTGACAGTATGAAAATAAGCTAAAACGGGTCAAACCGTTCATGTGGAATAAATAACGCTAGAGAGGGACGAAGAGCGAAAACATAAATTTTGCTGATTATATTACTTTTTTTGCGTTTATATGTATTTAAATCACCAAAATAATCAACTGACAGTAGCAGCAGCAACTTAAAGCTATATCACTTTCAGTCTCCTGTATTCTATAAGCATTGCCTATCAAATGCATCATTGAGTTTAGTCTTGGTTCACTTCCCTTTCGACAATACAGGTTTGTTATTGTTTATGAATTGCTCACTTTACCAAGAAGTAAAAATATTTCAAAGCAAGGTCATATTTATAGGACTCACTTCCCTTACACAACATATTATGCATTGGGTTAGGATAGCATAGTATAAGGGGAGGGGACTCTGGACAGTTAGACTTAATAATCAAATCGACACTGTGACATGGAATTATCCTCTGCTAATTTGGTGTCAAAAACAAAACCACTGCAGTGTCCTGGCAGTAATCTGGGGCAGACAAAAGATAATGTCTCCTTCTGTCCCCCATTATTGCCAGGATTTAGGGTCCAGTGTAACAATTGACTTGTTTTTAAGCTGCACGCCTCCAGATGAGCCAAAATATTTCAAGAAATTCAATCTTAAGAAAAATGTATTAAGATCTTAAGAAAAATAAAAAGATTCTATATTTAATCAATTATTTACATATTATGTGGGATTTATGACTGATTTTGCAGTAGAAGTGACTGGTTCAATCTTCAGACCAAGCCCAAAGTTCTCTGTGATAATTGTTTCTTGGACATTGAGTCTCAATGGTCATTTGTTTTTATCATTAATTCAGAAATCATATGGGTTTAGTAGTTTATTAGATCACTATTGAGGAGAAATAGTTAATTGTTGGAAATCAATGAAGGTGCATCATTTGTAAATTGTGTTACAATGGATATGAAAAAAGCAATATAGACAAACGAAAGATCTGTGTATGCTTTTTCCTTACCATGTAGGAAGGGAGGTAATTTTAGAATGACTATTTTCTTACAATTAAAAGAGTTACATACCTTTATGGGAATGTGGTAGGAAAATATATAAAATGATATTCTTTTGAAAAGGTCACTAAATAATAATACATTTATCAAAACAGAATGATCACTTATTACTAAATGCATTTTTCCAGCCTTTAGGAAAAGGTGATTCAAAGTCAGTTGCCATACCCAGTCTATAATTATGATAAAGAATAAACTTTTGCATTTGCGACACCAAAACAAACTGTATTGTATGGCCATGCATACATTTTGATGTGATGTCAATTTGTGTTATACGATCATAGCTTAAAAACGCACTAATTGTTAATTGCGTCAATAACAAAATAAAGATTATTTTCACTTCAGGCTTATGTAATGGTTATGTGATAAATAGAATACTATATTGATATTCGTGTAGATTAATTACTTAATTTATTCGTAACGTTTAATAAAATAATATTATACTTGCCACAAGCTTGCATAATATAATTTTATGCAACTTGTTAAATAAGTTTATTTTTGAATCTACACTCATTTAATATCCTCTTTGTAACGAATAATATGTAATCTGTTACAGGCGGAGGAACTGCGTCAGCTTGGTAACGAGTGTGTAAAGAGAGGTGATTATAGCGAGGCTGTGTTACATTACAGTCACGCCATCAAGCAAGATCCAAACAATCATTTTATTTATAGTAACAGATCTCTCGCGTTCCTGAAGCTACAGCAATACTACTTGGCCGAACAAGATGCCGTTCATGCTATAAAACTACAGCCAAAATGGCCGAAGGTAAGTAACTATATATAGATAGCAATATACCAATATAGTCCTGGAAAAGATATTAACTCTTACAAAGTTAAATATGTAAAAATGAGCTTGCCTGTCATTTAACCTAGACTAAACCATTCATCTTTTTATGGAATAATTTCAAAGAAATGTACTTACTGAACAGTGAACAGTGCAGACCATGATCAAGGTTCAAAAGTTTATTCAGCATAAACATGCAATATGTACATTGCTATACATATGATATAATGTGATGTATAAATCAGAAAGCCTAAATGTGATGGCTGATCTTGGTCTGCACTGGTCACATGGATTGAGATAGTCGCTGCCACCAGCTCTAGTGTTAATATGCTGTGCACTTTTGTATCATTGTATTTCTTGTATTACAGGGTTATTTTCGAAAAGGCGAGGTAGAGTTCCAGGTCGGACATTACACCTCAGCTCTTCTATCATATAGTGTGAGTTTATAACATTGTTCTTTCCATGGTCAACAACATATTTTTATTGATAAACTTTAAAATTTCACTTTATAAAATTTGAAAAAGAAAAAAGTCTTTATGTTAAGTCATCGTTGGTTACCCACGGTATATATTCCATACATACTACACATTACTACTAGCTCATTCTTGAGAGGGTTTTCATGTCTCCTAGGGAAATTTTTTTTTTTTCATTAAGTGAAACCACATGAATGTCTAATTGTTCAAACATGTGCATTTACTTATTCACTGAAATCCCCCCTCCCTAAATCATTCTATGTTAGACCACTGACTGTCACTCCTGAGGTTCCATGTTCAATCCTGGGCAACACTCTTGAGATTATTCAGAGACACTTTCAGTGTTTTCCACCTACTATAGAGTTATACTGGTATGAAACCCACGTAATCCTCACAATCATGTGTCAGTGCTATACACTGGGCATGCAAAAAAACACAGGGGTCTATTCAATAAGAGGTAGGGACTGGTTCCCAGATTTCCTTGTGTCTCATAGCTGTTCTTAGAGTCTGCTGAGGTAAGGACTCTACTGGAAATAAGTGTTTGCACTATTGTGGTTATCTTTGACTGCCAGGTCTAAAGAAATTCAATTCAGTGTTCTTATGTTACATGGTAAAGGCACCATGGATTATGTAAAAGATATCAAGCATAATGAATTTATTTTCACAAATCAAGGTTAAATTTTACACAATTATTATTAAAAGCAGTTTGTTAATTAACTGGACAGCTGTTCAGCTTTTGTCAGGTAAATATTGTGTAAAAGATGTAAAGAACATTTGAAAATGATATTTAGACCTAGTTTAGATATGCTTTTTAAACAAAACTGTATATAAAGTGTACAATTTTCCCATTTTACTGGTCAGTCAACCATGTGTGAGATAAAAAGAAAAACCTAGTACAAACTTTATTTTAAAGCTACATGCCTCCAGATGAGTCAAAATATTTCAATAAAATCAAACTTGAGAAAAATGTACTAAGATGTAAGGAAAAGTAAAAAGTTTCAAGATTCAAGTAATATTTTACATATTATGTGCGATTAATGACTGATTTTTCAGTATTTACAACTATATTTCTACTGCGTTACTAACGCAGTAAAGGCTATTTATGCATATTTTGACCACTTTTTGGTAATTTACGTGGTTTGTAAGTGCCATTGATAATGTGTAAATTGCTTCCTTTTGGTTACTTCACAATATTACACATTCAAATACATTTTCAAAATTTTCATGAAAATTAGCATGAATCTGGAGGCGTGCTGCTTTAATAATCAAAATGTAGTCAAGACTCTGTCCATAAGATACTGATAGTTTAAATTACCATAGCTGTCAGCTATTGCATTTTACATTTTCTTCCGCCTGATCAATCAATATAGATCAAACAGTACATTCACAAGTTTTGCCTTAAGTTATATCTATATTCAGCACACTTTTTATATACCAATATATACTGTAAAGTCAGTTAATTTTGCAAGAATAAGTTTTAGTGATTTCAATTAAAAAAAGGCCAGTTTAACTCTCTGTGTACTGGCAGGGGTGTCATTAAAGTTTTTCTGAGACCTTTCATTCATGGTCCAGTCATTTATGGTTTTATTGCATAATGTGTAATACCTAACCAAAAAAAAAAAAAGGCATTACTCAGGCTTTCAAAATCCTCAAAAAGTCTCTCAGTGCATTCTTTAAGTCTCATTTGATCTGATTTTAACCACCAGCCATCCAATACGCTATTTTTAGATCATAACTGTTTGTTTTTACAGCAAGCTTTGTTGTTTGAACCGAGTAATAAGGAAGTACAACAAGCAGTATCCAGGACCAATGACCAACTTGTCATTCTACAGAAAAGTGAGTTAATACATTAAAGCGGACTTCAGCATTTATTTTTTGTTAAAAAAAATAAAATACAACACAATTCTGTGTTGTTTCAAACTAAGTATTTCAATAATTTAATCTTGGAAAAGTGCATTATATCACTGTTACACCTTCTTCAACACAGCATCCCAAGAGCTATTTATAATGCGGCAGCAACGTTTGTTTCTATAAATAGAAGATTGGGCCACTTAAATTAAAATATAGAGAGCAGACCATTAGATTAGAGCTATTGAGAGGATTCCTTATTGTTCATATATTTCAATGACAGCAGATTTCATTTTACGCCTTAATTCTTTTGGTTTGACAATTATACGAAACAATTTATCTAAAAATAACCTACTTCCTTTAGAAAAGCTGAAGGCAGCTTTAAGATTTGAGTATTACCAGTGCCACTCACAACTTAACATTACTTAAAAAAAATATAGTAAACATTGCTTATATAGGTCACAAAAAGTTTAAAAAACTCAATCAGTCTGATAGCTTGTCTTCACATAACTTGTTCATATTTCACATTCCATTTACAAATCAATTACAGTGATAACAATTTGTTGTTCACTTAGGACCTGACAAATAGCGATGTCCAGACTGCTATATTGATACGAACTATTTGTATTTTTATTATAGAGAAAAGAAGGGAGCCATGGATATTTTGTGGAGTTGGTGCATTGATAGGATTATTGATAGTCATAGCTGACCAGTTCCTTACAGTAAAACCTTCTATACAGGTACTGTACAAAACAATTCCTTACAGTCAAACCTACTATAAAGATTCTATAGTAAACAATTTTTACAGTCAAACCTTTTATACAGGTACTGTAGTAAACAATTTCTTAGTCAAATCTTCTATACAGATACTGTGCAAACCAGTTTCTTACAGTCAAACCTTCTATACGGGTTCTGAACTAAACAATTTATTTCAGTCAAATCTTCTTACTTATTCCTTACAGTCAAACCTTCCATAAACTATTGTACTGAACAATTTTTACAGTCAAACTTTCCGTACAGGTACTGTATGAGCCAGTTCCTTACAGTACAAGTAGTGTGGTGTACACAATAAGTACAAACACCAAACCTTTCATACAAACAACTGTATTAGACAATTCTTTGCAGTCAAATCTTCTATACAGGTACTTTACAAAGCAATACCTTTCATACAGGTATTGCATTGAATAATTTTTTACAGACAAACCTTTTATAAAGGCACTGTTTTAACCGAATGCTTGGAATCATTGCTCGGAGTCAAACTTTCAATACTGATTCTGTACAAAACAATTACTTACAGTCAAACTTTCCATACAGGGTACTGTACTAACCAGTTCCTTACAGTGAAACCTTCTGTAGAGGTACTGTACTTACCGATTCCTCACAGTCAAACCTTAGTATGGGTAGTTATTGAACATGTTTACCTTTATACATTACAGAATGTGATAATACAATGTCTGATGGTGATGACATTTTCTAGTCTTGGATATGGTGCCTTAAGAATTTACAGGTAAACTTTATAGAATGACGCTAAACATTATATAGAAAACAGACTAATAAAAGTTTAGCGGATCTAAGTCTGCTGATGGCGACTGTATTAACCATACAACCAGCAACTATAACAACTGTTTTTAACCCTCAATCTCCTGGCAACAACAGATTCTACTTATGTGACTTGTGCTCTTTTTTTTCGACTAACACATTTGTGCAGACCAAGATCAGCTCGCACATACCTCTCTGATCATGGTCTGCACTGTTGGCTATTTAGTCAGTATCATTTTTGAAATTTCCCCTAAAAATGATGATGAGTTTTGTCCAATTTCAATGATTGTAAGATGGACAAGTGAATTTAAGATATTTAGTGCAGTAATTAAGGGTTAAGAAATACTCAGAATTACAAGTATATCTAGTTGCACTTAATTAGACAAATTTCATGCAAGTGCTTACAATTTGTTTAAATTCGGGTCTCTTTAATGTCACAATAAGTGTTTATTATTAAAGGAACTCCACTGAGGTACATTTTAAGGTCTAAAAGCATAAAAACTTAAAATTTGAATTTCTTATAGAGGGGCAGTCAAAACAGAATGATATACAAAAAGTTATAAGGAAATATACTCTGAATTAATTGAAAATGGTATTTTTGTGACGGCTTTTTGTGAGATACTTAACCTTATTTGAGGTAAAATCATTTAAACACTTTTCATTGTGGGTAATTTTTCACAATACATGTATATGTATAAACAATTTTTCAGGGAGAAAAAGACAAAGCAAATGATTTAAAAAAATCACAAGTTATTGATCCAGACCTTCATCAAATGGTACATAAATCTTATTTCAGTCAGTTCATGTCAAAAGACCTCAGTGGAGTCCCTTTAAGTTTTAAATCATTTAAATTCATTTATGAAATATTTTATTTGTTTCAGATATATAACTGACTCACAGACAAGATCATTGCTTGACCCACCTATTGATCTTCTTGATGGTAAGCCTTTAACTCGAAATCCTCTACTCATTTCTTAAATAGGCTTTTCTTATTTACACTGTTAACAACAAACGAAAAATATCATTCCACAACAATCAACATAAAAAAGGTGGGGCATGCTTATGATTGAACGTAAATATAACACTGAGCAAGTTTATGTATGTGTATGTAACTATGTAGTCTAGCTTAAATGAGGGTCCATCAGCCCGTTAGGGCACAAAAAGCAGCTTTTGCTGTTGAGTATGGACCCTAGACATGTAACGAGTCATGCAGTTAAAGAATTAATTCTGAAGCACAAGCAAGCACTGAGCAAGTTTCCAGTTATGGTCTCCTTATATTATGACCCAGGTTTAAAGCTGCATGCCTTCATATGAGTCAAAAACTCAAAATATTTCAAGAAAATAAAACTTGAGAAAAATGTACTAAGATTTTTGGAAAAATAAAAAGATCCAAGATTTAAGTAATGATTTACATGTTTTTTGTAATTAATGAATAATTTTGCAGTATTTATCACAATCTTGCTTGCTTGATTAATGCAGTTAGGGCTATTTTTGCTTATTTTGACCTCTTTTATTTTGGTCATATACGTGGTATTTAATTGCCCTTTAAAATGTATGGATAACTTTCTTTGTTCACTTCAAACTATTTTACTTTTAAACATGTTTTCAAAATGTTTATGTAAAGTTAGCATGAATCTGGAAGTATGCTGCTGTTAAGTAAAAAAAATATATCATTTTTCTCATTGCCTAATACATATGCTGATTGTTTAATGTACAGAGATGGGAGCAAGTTCAAACACAGATTCACCAGACGACACTGACCATGTGAATAATAAGCAGACGTCAAATAATAAACAATCTGATTCCAAACCTCACAGAAAGGGCGGAGTTAGTGCGGCCAGGCAGAGGTACAAAAAGGGGAAAAGCTGACACAATGGTGAAATCTAAGTCACTTTTTAAAAAAAAACTTTTAACAGAATTTGTTATGTAAAATAGTCCATACAGATGCTAAAAGCACAGTTCGCGATGTGTAATATTGAAAGAAAACAGTTTATTTGCGTTTGGTATCTTTGTAGTGGAGATTTGTGCTTTAAAGAGAGTGATCCAAAGGAAGTGGGAAATATTGAAGTGTTGTGTAATTGTGAAATGATGGATGCTGGGTAATGAAACAACTATAGAAATTTGGAAAACCAGTCTATGAGTATCTTAGCATTTGATTGGTTGTCTAGATTTCGTTGTTTCTTCAAATTGACCAATGACATAATTGCATTACTTGACTGGTATGCAGTTGTTTTTTTTTGTTTGTTTTTTTTTGATGACAATATGCTTTGACTAAATCCAATTACATTTAGTAAATATATGATTTTTTCTTTCTAATTTTGAATAATTTATAATTTGGTGCCATTTAATCATATTCAAGTGTTTGCTTTTCATCATGTCACTCAGATTTTGTGTGTGTTCTTTTTGTTTATTTTATTTAAATGTGTTCAAATTTGGGATCAAAGTTCAATTTATTATTATATAGAGTCAAATGCAACTTCATTGTGTATGATTTTAAACAGTTGATTACATACTTACTGCAATATATCTTTAATCTTTCAATCTTGACAAAACTATTTAGTTTTTTTTAACTTGATGAACTGAACCAAGCTTTCTGTTTGACTTAAACATCACATGCATCCCTTGAGGAACTTTGGGTCCTTTCATGTGAGGAAGCTATCAAGCTAGCTTATAGAACATTGGTGGTTCTTCTTAACTGCTCGCTCATGCCTTAAGTAATGTACAAAGAGGCGCCTGAATCTTGCTTCACCAGTCTGCTCATTCCTGAAATAATGTACAAAAGGGATACCTGAATCTTGCATTACCATTAACCCATTACTTCATATACACGCCTTTTAACGCCTTTTTCACCCCCCCCCCCCTTTATGTTGTCTCAAATGATGAAAAAATGCCTTATTTAGGCCCAAACACTTGTTTTTGTTTGAGAAATGTTGTTAAAAAAAGTGACCTCTTTTTCGGCGCGGTCCCCCAACCAAAAGATACATCAGGGGGTTGCCAGAAGGGGGATGTGCCCCCTTCTGTTTGGGGGGTTTGAGGGGGGGGCGGAGTCCCCCTCATCGCCAAGAAAATTTTGGATTTGTGAGCGGCTGTAAATGACCCCAGATTGATCATAAGGTAACGTGTAACCAACGCTGAAAAGCATTTGACTCTATCTCAATCCATTGAGAAGTTGTAGCACTTTGAAATCAATTTTGATGGAAAAAATCAACGCAAAATAGTGATTTTTGGCAATTTTGAGATGTCCCCTCGTTGCCATGGTAACAGAAAATTTAAGCCTGAGCATGTTGTTGCAAGGGCAATGGTCCAGTCAACATTTGTGCCAAGTTTGATAAGTGTGGAAGCAGTTTTTATAGTATTATAGCAATTTGAACTTGTAACGGGAGACTTTTCCATGAAAACAGCCATTTTTCACAAAATGCTCATGAAGTAATGGGTTAATGAAAAAAATCAAAAAATCTACAAAACAACAATTTTTCTTCAAATTTATATGACAGGCCATGTTTAAACATGAAAAAACGCGATTTAGGGTAATTTCAAGTATTTTCATCATTTTCTGTTAACCCATTACTTCATATACACGCCTTTTAACGCCTTTTTCCCCCCCCCCCCCCTTTTTGTTGTCTCAAATGATGAAAAAATGCCTTATTTAGGCCCCAAACACTTGTTTTTGTTTGAGAAATGTTGTTAAAAAAGTGACCTCTTTTTCGGCGCGGTCCCCCAACCAAAAGATACATCAGGGGGTTGCCAGAAGGGGGATGTGCCCCCTTCTGTTTGGGGGGTTTGAAGGGGGGCGGAGTCCCCCTCATCGCCAAGAAAATTTTGGACTTGTGAGAGGCTGTAAATGACCCCAGATTGATCATAAGGTAACGTGTAACCAACGCTGAAAAGCATTTGACTCTATCTCAATCCATTGAGAAGTTGTAGCACTTTGAAATCAATTTTGATGGAAAAAATCAACGCAAAATAGTGATTTTTGGCAATTTTGAGATGTCCCCTCGTTGCCATGGTAATAGAAAATTTAAGCCTGAGCATGTTGTTGCAAGGGCAATGGTCCAGTCAACATTTGTGCCAAGTTTGATAAGTGTGGAAGCAGTTTTTATAGTATTATAGCAATTTGAACTTGTAACGGGAGACTTTTCCATGAAAACAGCCATTTTTCACAAAATGCTCATGAAGTAATGGGTTAAAGCTTGAAAGTAACCTTCATAGTGTATGTGTGACAACAAAAACAACAACAACCATAACATACATGTATTTGAAACTTTATAGTTTTTCAATCAGGCCAAAGTATTTTTTTATCAAAAGTCAATAAAAAGCTTTTATAGCATGGTATACACATATACATGGTATATAATTCATGATATATCAAGCAACAAAAAGTTTTGTTCGTTGCTTTTTAAATTTAAATATTGGCAATCATACTGAATATATTAAAAAATATATATATATCAAAGCATTTATCAATTAATTAATGTAACATTTCTTGATGACATTTGTTTTAACTAGTTATTGATTCACTTGTGAATCAAAGCAAATAAATTTAGAATGCATATGTAAAGAATGCAGATAACTTTAAGCCAAGCTGTTATGTTAATATATTTAAGATTATTCCTAGAAATCATTTACATTTATATGGAAAAGTTTTTTTGTTTTTTTTTTCTTGTTTTTCTTCAATTCAACTGTAACAACTGTTGCTTTTTTGCTTTTGTTATCCTGGCTGTGACTGAATCTACCCTAGCAAAAGTATTTTGATGTGCCAAAGCTAGATTCTGAGGTATTTTTGTTGTTGGTCAAAATCTCGATATTGCCCATACACAAAATTTCACATTATCTCAACAGGTAGTACAATTAGTTGGACTAAATCTACCCATGTGAACGGAACATTCTGAGATAAGTTGTTATATAGATCTGGGCCTCCTGATCATGTTGTACACTGTCCTGTATTCAGTCAGTACATTTTTATGCTTCACAAGGGAGAGAATATTATAATCACCCCTTTGTCCGTCCATTCATATGTCTTTCCATATTTTTTTGTTCGGGACATAACTCTGAAACTACCAGAGGTATCAAAAAGAAATTTTGTAGGTGGATAGATCTCATTAAGTTGAAGTGCAGTGCATAAGAACAGTAACTCTTCCTAGCCAAATTTTGGAGTTATTGTCCTTTTTTATTTGTAAATTTTGGACTTTGTCTGGGACATAGCTCTAAATTTTCTCTAAAATTGATAAATTGTTTTCTCCACATTGAAATATGGACAAGTCCATTTAAGATACTTATGGTGATTAAGTAAGGTTTTAGATGCATAATAGAAATCCTGTGTTCATTGTTTATTGTTTTTTGGTTTAACAATTTGGTTGCTTACTTTGGGAAATCTCTGGATAATTGAAACTATTTTTTTTTTTTTTTCTTGGTTCTATTGTTGTTCTTGACAGGTGTCTTAATCATAGCATAATTTTCAATGTACATTTATGATTAAAAGAGTAAATACTTAAATAGTTTATTTACTAAGTATTAAAAATTTTAAAAACTTCTCTTGATTTTTTGTTGAAATGTACTTTCCTAGCATTTTGCCATTTCTAGCATATTGAAAAGAAGGTAACAAAAAAATGGATCCCTTAACCAGCTCTGCAAGTGACTGACTTCTAATCCCATATGATATTTGAATCAGTGGTGAGAGATAAAATTTTCATGATCATTAGACGCAATTACTGAGATCAGGTTTCATAGAAAAATGTTGACCAAGGATTGAACCTGATTTGAGCTACATATAAGGGGGCCGCCTTATTTGTGACGAAGGATTGAACCTCATTTGAGCTACATGTAACAGGGCCGCCTTATTTGTGACGAAGGATTGAACCTCATTTGAGCTACATGTAACAGGGCCGCCTTATTTGTGACGAAGGATTGAAACCTCATTTGAGCTACATGTAACGGGGCCGCCTTATTTGTGACGAAGGATTGAACCTCATTTGAGCTACATGTAACGGGCCGCCTTATTTGTGACGAAGGATTGAACCTCATTTGAGCTACATGTAACGGGGCCGCCTTATTTGTGACGAAGGATTGAACCTCATTTGAGCTACATGTAACGGGGCCGCCTTATTTGCGACGAAGGATTGAACCTCATTTGAGCTACATGTAACGGGCCGCCTTATTTGTGACGAAGGATTGAACCTCATTTGAGCTACATGTAACGGGGCCGCCTTATTTGTGACGAAGGATTGAACCTCATTTGAGCTACATGTAACGGGGCCGCCTTATTTGTGACGAAGGATTGAACCTCATTTGAGCTAAGGGGGCCGCCTTATTTGATGGTACATGTAATTCATTTGTTTTAAGTTTATGAAAAAAAATTGGAGTAGTTTGTTTTGGTATCTGGGACCATAACTCAAAATTAAGCTAAACAAATTTATGATGTATAAATAATAATAGCAGGTGTAGTAGTTAGGAGTTGACAAAATGCAGACTTGTTGCTAGTGGAAAGGAACACATATTTTGACAGTTAATCATGGTATATTAATGTTGATTAAGACACATTTAGAATGACATATGTATGTAAATTGATTACTAGGACATGAGAAAATCTTAATTAAGACTGATTACCTATAATGAATAGGAAAATCAAACTTAACATTGTATGAAATGTTACAGTATCTATATTGTGAAAGAAATGTTTTCAATGTTTTGTAAAATTCTGGGTCTTCTAAATGTGATTCTAGGGTATCTCCCCCCCCCCTTCCCCCACCACCATCATACCTTTTTGCCCTTTCAGTAAATTTTAATAAGGGTTTGAATAAACCAACCACACAATCAAACACTAGTGAGTCACCCATTTGGGTGTCTGGTAAGGCAGGCATAAGAAAACGTCTCTTAAAACATCATTTGTTTTTTTGGGGGGGGGGGGGGGGGGTTTACGTCACATCGACACAGTATAGGTCATATCGCGACGTTCCAGCTTTACTGGTGGAGGAAGACCTCAGGTGCCCTTCAGTGCATTATTTCAGGCACAAATGGGCACCTGAGTAGAACCACCGACGTTCCGTAAGCTAGCTGGATAGTTTCCTTACATGAAAGAATCCAAAGTCCCTGTTGGGATTCGAACCCACAGCGGTGAGGGGGCAAGTGGTTTGAAGTCAACGACCTTAACCACTCAGCCACGGACGCCCCTCTTAACTTCATTTAAAAAATGACATCAAAAGACATTAGCATTGTCTTTGATGTTAAATATAAAAAAGTGAAATACTTTTGAAATATAAAAGATAAATATGAATTAGTAACAATAAGCAAATTTCAGAAGATTTTATTTATTTCAAAAGCAATGGAAATGAATATTTTTAAGAATCAAATACACTGTATGTCAATTTATAAGAATAGTAATTAACATTTTGGGTTGTTTTCTATTGCCGGCGGTCAATTATATAAAATGTCTACCACAA